GGGGCGAGGCTGCCGCACTCAGACACGGGGTGCAGGGCTGGGACCAGGCCCTGTGAAGTGCACTGGGGGGTGGCACTGCGGGGTCCTGGTTGAGGCCTCTCGCATGGTGTTTTCTTTCTTTTTTTGAGAGGTTTTCGCTATAGGGCGTGTGTGCTTGCCAGACAGAGAGAGACAGAGAGACAGAAAGCGAGAAATCACCCCCCAGGGGGGATGGTCATGCCGCAATCCCTTCTCCTCCATTCTCCTCTCAGGATCTTGGGTACACACGCACATTCACATGCGCCCGGCATGAGTTTAAGCCACCGGCTCTGAGACTCGAACCGTGGTCGACTATGTGGGAGTCCAGCAACATAGCCATTACGCCAACTGCTGGTCCCACCACGCATGGTGTTTTCTGTGCCATGTCCTGAGATAAACACATGCTGTATATGTCGTGGGCTGAACCGTGTCCCCTCCAATTCCTGTTGTAGCCCCTCAGATGTGACTGCATTTGCAGACGTGGTCTTCAAAGAGGTGAGTAAGGGAAAATGAGGGCTTCAGGGTGGGTCTTAGCCCCAATGACTGGTGTCCTTAGAAGAGGACACAGAGGGACGACTGTGTGAAGACACAGGGAGAAGACGGCCATCAAGCCCAGGAGAGAGACCTTGGGAGAACCTGACTCTGCTGTCGCCTCGACCTGGGACTTCCGGCCTCCAGAACTGTAATGAAATGAAATGCCTGTGGTGTCCACTAGGGGGGTCCAGCAGATGACTCATCATCTCTTCCCACAGAGGAGACAGGGCAGTCAGATTTGGGGACTTCGGGCAACTTGCTGGATCCCCTCTCCCCCTCCGCAATGAGCAGGGACCAGGCTGGTGTGAGGCTGGCAGCGAGAGCGCTGTGAGTGGCTTACCTTGTCATACCTGAGGGCCTGCACGATCTGGGGGATGTAGAACAGGATGGCATCCTGCGTGAGAGGAGAAGCGACCATGATCTGTTAGGCTGGAACCACCAAGCAGACCTTCGCCCCAAGGTCCTACTCGGCGAGCTGCGGAGGCCCTTGGGGCACAGCAGCGGGACTGAGAACCGGGGAAGCCCAGAGAAGCAAGGAAAATACCCACTGGCTCGAAACACACGGTTGGTGCAGAAAGGCCGGGGAGGATGGCATCCCCGCCTGCAAGGAGGGCCAGGACGGCGTGTTCCTTACTGCAGAGACTGCCTCAGATCTGGGCTGACGGTTATAGGAGAATGTGGGGCCGGGCCTGCAGGGAGGCAGACTCTAGAACGTTCTACAGCTTCCCCCATCACTGCGGCTGTCACACTGGGTCCCTGGCTCCCTGTGATAGTTTACTGCTGGGTTAAAGGGCACAGGTGCACTGTGGTGGGCAGTCTGCTCATGACTGTCCTGAGGCTGGCGAGGAAATGCCCCCTCCGGAAACAAACTCATGCACACTTTTTTAAACCCAAATACCTAAAGTTAAAAGAAAGTGGAGGGACCAGCAGTTGTCGTAATGGCTATGTTGCTGGACTCCCATGTAGTTTGAGTTCGAGTTTGGACTTGCGGTTCGAGTCCCAGACCCAGTGGCTTAAACTCACACCAGGTGCGTGTGTGTGCGTGCCCAAGATCCCGAGAGGAGAATGGAGGACAAGGGATTGTGGCGTGGCCATCTCCCCTGGGGGGTGATTTCTCACTTTCTATCTCTGTCTCTCTCTGTCTTTCTGGCGAGTGCATGTGCCCTACAGCAAAAACTTCTCAAAAAAAAAAAAAGACAAGACCAGATGGGATAGAACTAACTCCACCTATGACAACATCCGCCGAGGTGGGGAGTGAAGACGTGTCCTGGCGGGCTGGGACTTAATGAGGCCACCTCCCGGGTGGGCGGTGAAGCCCTGTCCTCCACCTCCACACTTAACCCCTCCTGAGCTCACCGGGGGGAAGGACCGCAGGACTTTCACGCCGTACTGCGCCGTCAGGGGGTGCGGTGGGTACATGCTGGAGAAGTAGGAGAGGCCGGTGGGTGGGTCCGTGGGCGCCCAACACAGCACGTGGCTGAGCTCCGGTGCGTCGGCGTCGATGGTGTGCCAGGTGACGAGGAACTGGGGAGACAGCAGGGAGGCGGTGTGGCTCAGGTGGTCCCTGGGGCCTCTCTGGAAACATCTGGCCCAGCGCCCACACCACAGGTGTGCACGTGAGCAGTGCCATACAACACGCGGGAAAGTGTTTCTGATAAACTACGTGAAACAATATCACACTTGTTTCCTGTTGCACACGTGAAATGCTGCCTACTGGGAAGTTAGGACAGTCACTCACACCACCGAGGTCACCAGGCCACCGTTCCGGTCTTGTTTTCAGTTCCCAGGCATTCTTGCGTAACGCTGTTTCTGTGCAGTGTGAACCCGCGCCCCACGACGTGGGCTACGCTACCTTGATGGCTTCGGGGACGTCACTAACGGCTCCTGGGTCCAACCGGACTAGACGGGTCACTTCGTTTCCGATGGCTTCTGTGTTCTTAAACCTGTAGGCACAGAATGTGGGTGGGGCGACCTCGCCAGGACACGAGGAGGGGGGCTGGGGGCCGATGAACCGGAGGGCGCGGGCCGGTACCAAGGTCCTGTGTTAGTCGTGTTGGGAAGTCTGAGCACGGGTTTTCTTTTCTCTCCCCTTTCTTCTGAGTCATTTACTTATTAATTATTATTTAAAAATTTGCTATAGAACATGCGCGTGAGAGAGAGAGGGAGAAATGAAGCAGCAAGCCTGTGACCAGAACTGCAGCTAGTCACATGGGAGTTCAGTGCCTTAACCGCTATTCCACCTGTTGGCCCTGAATGTTTTCTTTTCTTCTTTTTGGGGAGAGGTTTTTGCTATAGGGCGCGTGCGCTCGCCAGAAAGACAGAGAGAGACAGAGAGACAGAGAGCGAGAAATCACCCCCCAGGGGGGATGGCCACGCCGCAATCCCTTCTCCTCCATTCTCCTCTCGGGATCTTGGGCACACACGCACACGCACACGCGCCAGTCTGAATTTTAGCCACCGGATCCGGGACTTGAACCATGGTTGACTACGTGGGAGTCCAGCAACATAGCCATTATGCCATCTGCTGGTCCCATTTTTTTTTTAAGACAGCATATGGGGGTTCACCAGCACCAACACCAGCAGGTCGTGCAGTGGTTAAGATGCTGGACTCCCACATGGCCGACCGCAGTTTGAGTCCTGGACTCAGCGGCTTGAAACTCACGCCAGGCACGTGTGTGGGCCTGTCTGAAATCCCGAGAGGAGAATGGAGGAGAAAGGAATTCAGTGTGGTCATCCCCCCTGGGGGGTGATTTCTCATTTTCTCTGTCTTTCCAGTGAGTGCACCTGGCCTATGGCAAACATCTCTCTCGAAAAAACTAAACAAAACAAAGCAGCCTATGATGGGCTGTGAAGAAATGCCAGAACTTTCTCCAGCACAAACTAGCCTGCACTCCTGTTCAAGGGGCCTCCATTTACACCCCTTGCCTTTAGAGCACCCAGGCCTCGGTCCCTCTGCTGTTCGGGGCCCCTGCTCTGGCCTCGGCAGCAGCCCATCCTCGGAGAGGAGCCTCCATTGCAGGCCACGGGCGGCAGGGCACCTCTCCGGGTGGGAGGGCAGGTACGGTTCCCAGGTCTCCCTCCCGGGCTAACACAAGGCAGGGCTTCCCCTGAACACTGTGCTGGGACAGTGTGAGAACTAGCGGGGTCCTATTCCAGAGGGGCCCACGAGGACCAGGAGGAGGAGTAGCAAGGCTGGGCTCAGGGTAAAGAGAGACCACCCTGGACACACTCCCAGGGTCCGGGGACTTCCTGAAGGACCTCCACAGTCCCGGTGGCCACCATCAGTCTAAGACCTGCCACAGGTGTGTCCACGGACACGGCGGGCCACTGGCCTCTCCCCAGTGGCTAGCTTCCAGAAGACAACATCCCGAACCAACCACACCCCCACGCCTGGTTCCGAGCTGCCTCCTGGGAGCGACAGCCTCTGCAACTGGTATCTGCTCTGGACACACCCTGGTGTCACCTCCTTGGGCTCTGGGGTGTGAGAGGATGACGGACCCCCAGGGCCACTAGGTAGTCTCTGCAGAGACACGGTGTCCCGGGACCGAGGGCCGGCCCGCTCGGTGGCACCCTAACCGCTCTCTCTAAGGGCGCTCATGACCCAGCCAGCAGGTGCCCTGCACCAGACCCCTGGCAAGGCCCTCGTCAGGCCGGGGTGCCCCAGGCCTCACCTGGCTGGCAGCTGCACGGCCAGGTAGGGCGAGATGCTCCAGGCCAGGTTCACGTTGTCCTTCCACTGCTTCTCGCTCAGGCTGATGTACTTGGAGCGCCAGTTGGCCACGCTGTTCTCTCCAGCCTGGTCCAGCTCCAGCTCGGGGGCTGACAGCGGGTTGTACCACGTGATGAGACGCTCGACCTCGGTGGCCTGCGGAGATCGGGACACGACGCCCGATGCGCCTCGTGTAGGTGCCCACAGGCCACCCCCACCCCGGAGTGCCATGCCGGCTCGCGGGGCCTCACCAGCAGGGACAGCAGCAGCGTCCTGCGCTTCATGTAGTACTTGTGCAGCTGGGAGCCACGGTTGGTTTTCTTAGACATACCTGGGGCCGGAAGGCAGAGCCGTGTCCTTGTCAGCGCCCCCTGCTGGCCCCGCACCCCGCAGACCGCCTCACGGGACAGCCGCGGGAGCAGACCTCCACCCACCTGACTTCTTGGAAATGGTAGACATGCCGCTGGACAGGGGGTAGGTGTTGATCCAGCCCTGCGTGGCTTGCTGCCGAGAGCCCACGGTTATGTCCAGGTTGCTCCGGGTGTCCTGGTTATCTGAGGGCAGACAAGGTCGGTTCTAGAACACGTGGTTCGAGAGGAGGTCTCATAAATAGAACACTGAGTTTTCACCAGAGATGGGGTGCTCAGAGCAGACCAGCTGCCTCCTGGCCCTGGGACCCACTGAGGATGGCTGCAGAGCAAAGCTTCCCGGACACCGAGTTGTCCACACACCAAAAAAGTGCTTCATTTTAGCCATCCCAGATGGAAGGTTTTCTAAGATATATTTCTCCTAAAATATATTCCCCCCCCTTTTTTTTTCTGAGAGATTTTTGCTAATAGGGTGTATGCACTGCCAGAGAGACAGAAAGCAAAAAATCACCCCGTAGGGGGGATGGCCACACTATAATCCCTTCTCCAGTCTCCTCTTGGGATTTTGGGCACGTGTGCACACATGCCCTTCCTGGGTTTTAAGTCACTGGGTCCAGGACTCGAAAAGCTGTTGACTGTTGACTGTGCTGTGGGAACCCAGCAATGTAACCATTATGCCATCTGCTGGTCTCCCTCCTAGCCTTTTTTTTTAATTTTTGGAGAGGTTTTTGCTATAGGGCACGTGCGCTCACCAGACAGACAGAGACAGGCAGAAAGTGAGAAATCACCCCCCAGGGGGGATGGCCACGCCACAATCCCTTCTCCTCCATTCTCCTCTCGGGATCTTGGGCACGCACGCACATGCACCCGGTGTGAGTTTAAGCCACTGGGTCCGGGACTCAAACCGCAGTCGACTACATGGGCGTCCAGCGACATAGCCATTATGCTAACTGCTGGTCCCCCTTCCGAGCCTTTAAAATGGAATAATAGAAACGTCCTGGGCCAGCCAGCAGGTGGCGTCATGGTTAAGACCCTGAACTCCTACATGACCAAGCGTGGCTCGAGTCCCAGGTCCTGCGGCTTCAAAATCACACCAGGCGCCTGTCCATGGGCCCCCAAAATCCCGAGAAGAGAATGGAGGAGAAGGGACCACAACATGGCCACTCCCCTTGCGGGGTGACTTCTCGCTCTTTCTCTCCGTCTCTGTTTCTCTCTGGGGAGCGTAAGTGCCCGGTAACAAAAACCTCAGGAGGAAAGAAGAAACGCTGCCCTCGTCGTGATAAACGGCAGCATGACCTGAGCCCCGGCCTGAGCACCGGCGAGGCGCCGTTAAACGCAGAGGGCCCGCGGGGCAGACAAGCGCTGTTTAGTGAGGCCACGGAGAATGCCCTCGGAAATCACTGTATGGAGCCAGCAGGTGGTGGGGCGGTTAAGGCAGCTAGAGCTCACGTGCAGGGCGGTGCAGTTCGAGTCCAGGACCAGAGGGTTACGATAAACGTGCCGGTGTGTGCACGCCCAAAACCCTGAGCGGAGGGAGAGGAGAAGGGGCTGCGGTATGACCATTCTCCACTGTGCAGTTCGAGTCCAGGACCAGAGGTTTATGATAAACGTGCCGGTGTGTGCACGCCCAAAATCCTGAGCGGAGGGAGAGGAGAAGGGACTGCGGTATGACCATTCTCCATGGTGGGTGCCTCTCACTTTCTCGCTCTCTGTCTCTCCCTCTCTGTCTCTTTCCAGTGAGTGCACGCACCCATTAGCAAATTAAAACAAAACAAAACAGACAAACTGGGGCCAGCGGGTGGCATGGTGGTTAAGGGCACTGGACTCTCACATGGCCGACGGGGTGGCAGCTTGCTTTCTCATTCTCTCTCGCTCTGTCCCTCTCTTGTCAAATTAAAGTAAAAATAAAGTTAAATACACAATAATTCTTTTTTTTTAAGAGGTTTTTGCTATAGGGCGCGTGAGTCCACCAGAAAGACAGAGAGAGACAGAGAGACAGAAAGCGAGAAATCACCCTCCCTCCCGGGGAAATGTCCATATTGCAATCCCTTCTCCTCCATTCTCCTCTCGGGGTCTTGGGCATGCACAGGTGCCCAGCATGAGTTTAAGCCACCGGGTCTGGGACTCGAGTCACGGTTGACCACATGGGAGTCCAGTGACGTAGTCATTACGCCATCTGCTGGTCCCCCAGTAACAATAATTCTTAAAAAACAAAACAAAACTTAAAAAAGAAATCTGCTGGGGCCGGCAGGGGGCGTGGTGGGTAAGGACGCGGGGCCCCCACAGGGCCG